TATGTCTCAATTTCCCAGTCTGTATGTGAAAGAGAGAGAGATTTCTTTTTTTCACCTACCTCAGAGAATTGCTATGGACTTCAAAGAATCGAAAGTTTCCCAGGCCATAGAGCAGTGTGTAATATAATTGCCACCATCAAAAACTCTTCCCCAATTATTTCTAACTTGGAAATGCTAAATTTTTATGTATCTTACAATGCTCCCTATCATCAGTGGTCTTCCAACTAATTACATGGTGAGGAGTCATGTTGAGCTAGCCACAACCAAGAGCATATGTCACACAGTCCTTAACCTCTGTAAGTTATAATTTTGTAGAAATTACCTTTTCATCCTTATCTTTGAGTTGCATGAACATTCACTTCACTGTAACTAATTTAATCACTGACCTGAAACATTCACCCACTTCCTGCCTTGCTCATTCTGGAATGTCTACCCTTTTGTCTGCCTAACCAAACATTGTTCTTCCTTTGAGGGAAGATTTAGTTCCACTGCCCCATAGACTCTTACCCTTAGGCCCATGCTGATCTCCTTCTACTAGGAATTTGAAGCCCACTTGGTCTTTGCCACATATTTGCAACTTAGTTTCATGATGGTGCCTTAGTCTAGTGCCTGCTATGAATTAACCTCTCTCTCTGGTAACACTTTTTGAGTCCTTTAATATATGCTTTTTGTTTAATGAGATTGAAAACTTTATTATTTCCATTTTAGACATGAGAGAATCAAGGATTTGTAATATGCCAACTATTAATATCAAATTAGAACACTTGGTGGTTATTATGTTCTGGGCTATAAATCTGGGATTCTATAACTGTGGAGAAAGAGCAGAATAGATATTGGAGGACATCTAGCAGCCTCTGTCATAGACAGGAGAGAAAAGTAAAAAAAAGACAAGTGATAAGTGCTGTGAAGGAGAAAGGATTAGTACAAACAGCTCATGCCAGGGCCTTATCGTGGGAAATCATACAGAAAGGACTAGAAGAAGTGGACCTTGAAGGTAGCTATATTAGTGTTCTATTGTTATGTAACAAGTTACTACAAACCTGGTGGCTTAAAACAACACTTATTCTCACGCCTGTAATCCTAGCAATCTGGGAGGCCGAGGTGGGAGGATTGCTCGAGGTCAGGAGTTCGAAACCAGCCTGAGTGAGACCCCATCTCTACTGAAAACAGAAAGAAATTAATTGACCAACTAAAAACATATATACAAAAAATCAGCTGGGCATAGTGGCGCATGCCTGTAGTCCCTGTAGCTACTCGGGATGGTGAGGCACTAGGATCTGAGGCAGTAGGATCGCTTGAGCCCGGGAGATTGAGGTTGCTGTGAGCTAGGCTGATGCCATGGCACTCTCTCTAGCCTGGGCAACAAAGTGAGACTCTGTCTCAAAAAACTACAAAAGCAAAAACGCTTATTTATCTCACAATTTCATAGATATAGTGGTTGGAAGTCCCTCATGGTGTGACTGGGTTTTCTGCACAGCATCACAAGGCTGAAATCAAGGTGTCCACTGGACTGAGTTCCACCTGGAGGCTCTGGGGAAAAATCTGTTTCTAATATCATTCTTCTTGTTGGTAGAATTCAGTTCCTTGTAACTGTAGGACTGAGCTACCTGTTTCCTTACTGCTACTTGGCCAGGGGCCACTCTCAGCTCGTAGAGGCTGCACACATTCCTTGACCTCTGATCTCCTGCATCTTTAATCCAGCAACAGCTCATCAAATCCTATTTTTGCTTTTAATCTTTTTTTTTTTTTTTTTTTTGAGACAGAGTCTCGCTCTGACACCCTGGCTAGAGTGCAGTGGCGTCATCTTAGCTCACTGCCACCTCAAACTCCTGGGCTCAAGCTATCCTCCTGCCTCAGCCTTCCAAGAGGCTGGGACTAAAGGCCAGAACCACTACCTCTGGCTAATTTTTTCTATTTATAGTAGAGACGGGTCTCATTCTTACTCAGGCTGGTCTCAATTTCTTGAACTCAAGTAATCCTCCCCTCTTGGCCTCCCAGAGTGCTAGGATACAGGCAGGAGCCACTTTGCCCAGCTATAACCTTTGATTTCTTCTGTTGTGACCAGCTGCTCTGTTTAGGCATGGCTCACCTGGGTATTTCCCTATTTTATAGTCAATGGTGCTATATAGGCTGGACGCGGTGGCTCACACCTGTAATCCTAGCACTCTGGGAGGCCGAGGCAGGCGGATCGCTCGAGGTCAGGAGTTCAAAACCAGCCTGAGCAAGAGTGAGACCCCCGTCTCTACTAAAAATAGAAAGAAATTAATTGACCAACTAAAAATATATAGAAAAAATTAGCCGGTGGCACATGCCTATAGTCCTAGCTACTCGGGAGGCTGAGGCAGTAGGATTGCTTGAGCCCAGGAGATTGTGGTTGCTGAGCTAGGCTGATGCCACGGCACTCACTCTCATCTGGGCAACAAAGTGAGACAGAGTCTCAAAAAAAACAAAACAAAACAAAACAAAACATGGTGCTATATAACATAATCTAATCATGAAAGTAAATTCCATTTTATTCACAGTCCTGGGAGATTATACAGAGTGTGTACACCAGGGATAGGAAATCTTGGGGGACTTCTTAGAATTCTGTCTAGCACCATAGGTAAGATTTAGATGAGAATAGAGAGCTTTTTGGTGGGAAAGAAATATAGACTAAAATCTCAAAAGTGAAACTCCACGAGGGATTTTTGGAGACTGAATATGTCTGCTTGTGACTGCTCTACTGGTGGCTTTTTTTTTTTTTTTTTTTTACTGAGGGTCTCCTGGGCACTTTATATCAATTCATTCACCAGTCCTTACATCAGCTTTATGAAGGTAGTATTATCCTACTTTTATGAAGAGAGAAATTCAGGCAGAGACAAGAAAACCACTTGCCAGAGTTATATCTGAATCACGTTGTAAAGCTGGGATTGTAGGTTGAGCTCTGGATGACTCTGAGTTTGTTGTGCTTTTGCTGTTTAACCTCCTGTCTGTGGCTCTGGGTGGTGAGCAGGTGGCAGTAAGGTTGTTCTGGACCAAGATTGTGGAGGGCAGTGGCGCATGTGTTAACAGGTGCCAAGAAAGATTTTAGAGGGTGTGAGTGAATGTGAGGACGAGGGGGATATGAAAGTGCATGGAGGGGAGCAAGTGGGCTGGATGTGCAATGTGTGATTTTGGGGGGGGGTTAATATGGCCAGTCAGGAGTAGCCTGGTTACAGATTGAAAGCAGGGATGATATGTTACACATAAAAGACTATGCCATGATCAAGCCTCTGTATCCTGGTGCCAATTTTCAGGAAACGCATACCACAGAAGAACATGTTAAACTGTATGTAAGTATCCAATCAGCAAAGTGGGGAAAGAGTGGGGATTACAGAAAAATCATCATAAATAGTTCCATCACCCAATATCAATACTATTAACACGAAGCAATGGGCAGGGGAAACAGCTTTGGTAGCTGTGGTTGTACTAGACCAAAGTTTTCATTTGATTTGAGGATCTTTTGCTTGGAGGCATTAGCGAAAGTGTTTCATCTCAGAATGGGGAAGCTTGGGCAAAAGAGAATTTGAGGTGAGGAAGACATTCGGAAGATATCTTATGCAAAGCATGCTGTGAGGGAATCGAGTAATTTGGTATTGCTTATCGAAATGTAAAATGTACATACTTTTGCATTTTCACTTCACTTGGAGGCATCTGTCCTAGATAAATACACGTGCACACAACAGACAGGCAAGTATGATCCATGCAGAATTATTTTTTAATAGTGAAAACCAGAACCCAACACAAGTCCATTACTAGAAAGTTGGTTATATAGTTTTATTTTATGCAATGGAATACCATACAGTCATTAAAAAGAACGAGATAAACCTATATTCACCAACAGTGAAAGATAATCAGGGACATTTTCATTAAGGGGAAAAAATACCTAGTTATTAATCTCATTACTTTAGAAAATATGTATGTACAAGTAAATGCACAAAGGTGTAGAAGGCTAACATCAAACTTAACAGCGAGTCTCTCCCAGGAGGGCCGTGGGTGGAGCCTGTGTGTAAATGAATGGGACGCTGGTGTCTCTCCGTGCACTTCTACTGTTTAACTCTCTTACCAGAAAACGTTTCCATGTGTCGCTGGGAGGAAATGCAGGAGTATTTTGAACGTATTTTGAGAACTGAAAAGTAGAGGAGGTGGCGAGGGAGACCCGCGGCCCCCAGGTCTCCTCAGACTCTCGCGCCGCCTGAGGTGAGGAGACGCCGCCCCGCTGAGGTGATTCTGCAGAGGGGCGGAGCTCTGCAGAGCCGGGGCGGGAGGCGGCCTCGGGGGCGGGGCCCGCCGACTCCAGCCGCTCGCTCCGCTCCCACCATGCCCTTATAAGGAGCGCCCGCGTTAGGGCTCGGGAATCCGGTCGCAATCCCTGCGGCGCAGCCCCAATCCCAGCCCCCTCCCTTGGGAATGGGGGCGGGGCGGGGTTTGGCGGCGCGGTGGCTGGGGCGGAGCATCTGGAAGCGGGGCCAATGGGAGTGGCGGCCCAGGTCTGAGCGGCGCTGCCATTGGGCGCGGCGACGCGAGGGGGCGGGGCCTCCGTGAGGTTGGTTACGCCGAGGGAAGCCCCGACTCCGTAGTCTCTGCTCGGAGTCTGTCCCTCCTGCCGGTCCCCGGCCCCGCCGAGCCCACTTCTCTGTCGCCCGCGGTTCGCCGCCCCGCTCGCCGCCGCGATGCCGGTGTTTCACACGCGCACGATCGAGAGCATCCTGGAGCCGGTGGCACAGCAGATCTCGCACCTGGTGATCATGCACGAGGAGGGCGAGGTGGACGGCAAAGCCATCCCTGACCTGACCGCGCCCGTGGCCGCCGTGCAGGCGGCCGTCAGCAACCTCGTTCGGGTGAGCGCGCTGGGCGGGGGCGGGAGGGGTCCCGGCGTCCCGGCCCGCCTCGCGACTCCCCTTCGCCGGCTCCCTGCTGTGGCTGTGCGCGTGGACTCTGGAGCCAGACACCGTGGGTTCCAGTGCCGGTCCCCCGCTCCGTGACCTTGAGCGAGACGCTGAGCCTCTCCGGGCCTCAGTTTCCTCATCTGTGGAATGGGGGCAATCATAATAAAGCCTGCCTTGTGGGTTTGTTAAGACTCGGTGGGGCATTATTTGCGAAGTGCCTAGCGCAGCGTGTGGCCCATAGCAGGCGCCCAGTAAATGATAGGTGTCCGGTGGTCCCATCCCCTCCGCAGGCTGTCGTCCCTCCCTCTACCTTGCTCTCAGCTCCTTTTGAGGCCTCCCCAGTCTGGCTTGTGTTTGGGGCGTGGGGGCGGATTCTCCTACTGATTCCCTGCCTTTCCTTCCAGAGATTCTTATTGGAGCCACGTTGTTCTCCTTTCTAATACTTCTCCTCACCCTGAAACCTGCCGCCCCCACCCCCACCCCCGCCCTCCCTGTGTCTGGCCCTTTTTTCTACTTGTCTTACTGGCCACACGTCCCTCTGTCGTCCCTCTGTCGCCTCCTGCTCCCCTCCTGGGCTCGCACTTAGGCTCACACCTCTGGCACTCTCCCACACCTTTATGCAGTAATTCATGACCACGAGCCCCGCTTTTCCTTTCGCTTAACCCTGCTGCCTTGCATGTTGTTCCCTGCCGTGGAGATTTCCACCTGGCCTTACCTGCTGTCAAACGGCTTCCTCCCACTGGGGCCTTTCCAGACTCGAGGGCCCTCCTCTTTCGGCCCCTCCTCCTGGCAGGAAGCAAGATGGAGCTCCGGGAGAGGCCTGTGGAATCTGGGATCTGCGGCCCGCCAGAGAGGAGGCGGGGTCGTCCCCTTCCCAGTCCACAACTTTCCTGGTGGCTGAGTGGCTCTGCAGACCCCTATAGCCACAGCTGTGACTAATAACTGAGGCGATTCCTGGAGGAGGTGGAGCCCATTCCTGAAATGGGAAAAGAGGTGCTGAGATCAGACTCCTAACGTTGCCCTGGCTAATGTCACAGTTTTCTTTCCCACCCTGGGTGGGTGACTCAGACTGCTCCTGCCTGTGAGGAACAACTTTGCAAAAAGTTCCTATTGCTTCCCGACTGAGCTCTGTAAATAGTGTACCGTCTTGGTAGTTGGTGCTTGGAAGCAACTGTGGCTCTGGGTGGGGCCTGGGTTATTAATACTTATCTGATTAGAGCACTTCACTGCACTTAGAGGCACTTTAGAAGCCGAAAGTCTTCCTCAGTCTACAGGGGCCCCTGGACTGCCTTAAGCAGTTGAGGAGACTGGTAGCTAGGGTGACACCACTGAACAAATTCCTGGTCTTGTTTTCTGTACAAATTTAGAAAGTCTATTCAGTAAGCATACTGTATTCATTCAAAATCTCTAGTTCTACATTGTTCTTGTTCTTTGTATAAGTAATTTTAATCTAACACTCCAGAGTACATTCTTATGTAGTGTTGTCTAACATGGCTGCATTCCAGGCCTCCATTTTTCACCAAATAGGAAACAATGTAAAGAGACAAGGTAACAGTGTCCCTCCATGTAGTACTTCAGGAAATGAAATCTCAAAACCACATGTTGCACTTGGAACAGAGCTAGTGTAGTCTAGGGGTTGATATCTGGTTAGGCTATTTAGAGAAAAGTTATTTATGGGCCTCCATGCCATGAATGAATAAGCACTGAATGTCTGCTGTATAGAGAGCATTGCAGTAAATCAGTAGTTCTCAGCTTGGAGGGTGCATGACAATGATCAGAAGGACTTTTTAGATATAAAGATGTTCAGCTCCCACCTCAGCCTGACTGAGGAGCTCTTCATGGGTAAGGTCAAGGCCTTTACAATTTTAAGAAGCTCTGTAGGTGATTCTGATATACCCTTAGGAAATACTGTAATAGACACTGTGAGACAAATACAAAAGAAAAAGGCCAGTCATAAGCTGAAAAAATTACATAGTTACAAACTTCCCAACACAAACAAAAGAAGGGACTTAAGATTGGTGATAAATATTTGTTGGCAGAGAGAAAGTGGGGAGGAGTGTGCTGATGAATAGTCAGCCATGAACAAAGGTACTTGTTAGCAACTTCCAGGTTACAGCAAGTAGATTGCCTTGTTGCAGCTCAGGAGGCAAGTTGGAGAGAAATTGGAGATAAAGTTGGTGTTTGACATAGGGGCAGTTTAGCAAAAGGCCTTATCAGTAAGAGGAACCAAGAGAGTGAGAGAGGGAGGATGAGAATGGTGTGTGAGGAAGACTATATGGGTTGTGTTCTGGGGAGGCCAGAGGACCTACTCAGGGCTTCAATTTCTCAGTACCAGTTGTGGCCCTTAAATGTATGGATCCTGTTCATGCCTCAAGATAGTATCTGGAGAACAGACCTTGTTTGATATTTCTTTATCTACTCCCCAGTTCCTGCCTCAACATTGGCACACAGGATGGCTTGATAAATTTTGTTGAAGGAAAGAAGGCACTATGGGAAGGGAGAAAAATTAGGAGACTTTTAAAATTGGTTGGTCATGAAGAATATGGCCTGGATTTGGGATGTGGCAGAGAAAAATGAAGAAGGAATTAATCAGAAATATATTAGAAGCCAGGCACAGTGGTGCATGCCTGTAGTCCCAGCTACTTTAGAGGCTGAGGCAGGAGAATTGCTTGAGATCAGGAGTTCAAGGCTGTACTGCACTCCAGCCTGGGAAACATAATGAAACCCTGTCTCAAGAAATAAGAAAAAAGAAGAAAAATATATATTAGAAGAAGAAATAATAGAACTTGATGATTAAACTGAATTTGCTAGGAAAAGTGTGGTATTACTATTGATATAAAATAATGAAACTGATTTTTTTTAAATTTCAAAGTATGATGGGGGGTTCAAATGTTTTTGGTTACCTGGATTGCTTTTGTAATACTCAAGTCAGGGTTAAAAGTGTGCCCGTCACCCAGATGGTGTTCATTGTACCCATTAGGTAGAGGTTTTCACCTATCTCCTCCTTTCCCCTCCTCCCTGAAACTGATTTTTGAACAAATATTCTGGAATTAAATTATCAATTGTTGTGCATAGTCATTGACTTATCAAACAGGTATTTATTGAGACCCCTTCGAATGTCAAAGTAATAAGAATGATACTGGGCAGAATAAGTGTGATACTGGATTGCAAGTCCTAAATTGCACTCAGGAAGTGCTGTGGAAGTTCAGAGGGGTGAGATTACTTTTGATGGGAGAATCAGGGGCCAAGCACAGTGGCTCACACCTGTAATCCTAGCGCTCTGGGAGGCTGAGGTGCTCTGGGAGGCTGAGGTGGGCGGATTGCTCAAGGTCAGGAGTTTGAGACCAGCCTGAGCAAGAGTGAGACCCTGTCTCTACTATAAATACAAAGAAATTAATTTAACAACTAATATATATAGAAAAATTAGCCTGGCATGGTGGTGCATGCCTGTAGTCTCAGCTACTCGGGAGGCTGAGGCAGTAGGATTGCTTGAGCCCAGGTGTTTGAGGTTGCTGTGAGCTACGCTGATGCCACGGCACTCACTCTAGCCTGGGCAACAAATCGAGACTCTGTCTCAAAAAAAAAAAAAAAAATCAGGGAAGGCTTCATGGAGGATGTAAGGTTTGAGCTGGGCCTTAAAGATAGGTGAGATCTGAACATTTAAAGATGTGGTAAGAAAGGTGTTACAAGTGGAAGAAACTATCCAAACAAAGGCACAGAATTTTCTAGAATTTAACTTAGGGCATTATTAAGGTAACTACTTTTACAGGGGCAGGACTCATTTGGGTTTGTGATTTCATGTATGTTTGTTAAGCAAAGTAGTCTGGTCACTGTATATACATAGCATATCACAACTGAGTCATCACTTTTACTCCATACTTAGCTAGAGGGTAGGGTTGGAATATTTGTTCACATGGCCATTTTTTTTTTTTACTCAGGATCCTGAAAAAGATCATTTTAATAATAGCTTTGTTGAAACATGATTTCACATACTATACAATTCACCTGTTTAAAGTATATAATTCAATGTTTTTTGGTACATTGCCAGAGTTGTACAACTATCACTGCACTCTAATTTTAGAACACTTTTGACCCTTTAAAAAGAAACCCCATACCCATTAGTCTTCATTCATTCTCTTCCCCTGCCCCCAGTCCCTGGCAGCCACTAATCAACATTCTTCTATCTTTGTGGATTTGCCTGTTCTGGACATTTCATATAAATGGAATCATATAATACATGGTATTTTGTGTCTGGCCTCTTTCACTTAACATAATGTTTTCAAGATTCACCCGTGATAGATACAGCATGCATCAGAGCTGCATTCCTTTTTATTGCTGAATAATATTCCATTACATGGAATGAGGCCATTTTAAACACATAGAGCAAGTCCAATGCAATAATAAAATGAGGGAGAGGAGGTAGGAAAAGGAAGGGTGGGAAAGGAAAAGTAGAGGAGGGGCATAAGAAGTTCTAAGAAAGATGGGATTCGATAAGCAATGTGAAAAAGTTAGAAGTCTTAGATTGCCTATTTTTTAGCATGGTATATACATTTTTTTCTTTTTTTCCTCATTAAAGTGGCCCATAGAAATGTCAGCCTTTGATATGACCATAACAGTCATGCCATTTTTATTAATGGGCCATCAGATACTTTGCCTTCTCCAATGCATCTGAGGGCATGTGTTGTAACTAGTCCTCGGGCTCATGAAATATTTATCTTGAGAGTTTTTGTGGCCTTGACTTTTATGGGCTTCATCCATATATCATATGCTCTTGGGACCAGCTCTGGTACAAATAGTAGCATTGTCTTCACTTTAAACTGATAGATGGGAAAGGCTGCTCTACCCTTAAAAAGAGATCAGCAATTAATTTTGTCACTTGTAATTATCAATATTAACATCTGAAAATATTTTGGCTTTAATTTGTTTTGGTTGGCATTAGACTTTATTGCAGTTAAAATAAATAACAGTATTGGGTAGGTGATTTTTTTTTCTTAATACTTTTCTGTATTTTCCAATTTTTAAAATTAATATGTAATTTCTATACCAAGGAAAAAATTAAGTAAATAATAAGACCATTTAGACAGGTATGGTGGCTCATGCCTGTAATTGTAGCACTCTGGGAGGCTGAGCTGGTGGTGCTTGAGGTCAGGAGTTCGAGACCAGCCTGAGCAAGAGCGAGACCCTGTCTCTGCTAAAATAGGAAAATTAGCTGGGCATTGTGGCACAGGCCTGTAGTCCCAGCTACACGAGAGGCTGAGGAAGGATTGCTTGAGCCCAGGAGTTTGAGGTTGCAGTGAGCTGTGATGATACCACTGCACTCTATCTAGGGTGGCAGTGAGACTCTCTCTCAAAACAAAACAAAAACATTTGTATAATCCTTTACAGCTTATAAAATACTTTCATATTTATAATGTTATAGCAATCCCATGGGTGGTATTACTGTGATCCCTATTTTACAGATGAGGACACTGTAGTTTAGAGAAATTAAGTAACTGCCCATAGTGGCACTGCTAGTTAGCCTGGACTTACACTCTGTTCCTGTTATTCCAGATCCTCTGTTTTCTTTCACTCCACTATTCCACATCCATTTAGAGCAAAATTGTTAAATATCAACGGAGGTTTTCCACCTAGAATCAGAAACAACAAGAATGCTGTTAGTCAAAGAGTTTCCATTTGTTCTGGGCCTGGCAACAGTATCTGTTTAGAGCCTAGCCTTGGCATAACTAGCAAGAAGGGCCTGTGTGAGAATGATGTGGCTGTAGGCTTCTGTTTCATAGCCATACTCGATTTCATAGCATTTACTTTTTTGAGAAGTAGGGGTAGATAAAGATCAGCACAAAATTATTTATGCCTGCGGAACAGATAAAGGCTTTTTATAGTATACGTGACTACTTAGTTTGAAGCTTATTAGAACTAAATAGTATTTAAAGTAAAGTTATAGATTCTTTGGGGAATCAATTCTTTGGGTTGATCAGTTTTCATTTGAAAAACTTTGTTTCCCAGTCAAAAGAGATACAAGATTGAGACAGATGTGAAATTTACTCCAGTAATATTTAATATTTAATCATGTGGCTGAGAAAGCAGAAGATTTTTGGAGATTGTCCCTTGGTATCCTTGGGGGATTGGTTCCAGGACTTCCTTTAGATACCAAAATCTGTGGGTGCTCGAGTCTCATCAGTGGTCCCCAGACTTTTTGGCACCAGGGGTCAGTTTTATGGAAGACAATTTTTCCATAGACCCCGGGGGAAAGGGAGAATGGTTTGGGGTTGATTCAAGTACATTACATATATTGTGTACTTTATTTCTATTATTATTATATTATAATATATATTGAAATAATTATACAACTCATCATAATGCAGAATCTAATGCAGCTGATCTGACAGGAGACAGAGCTCAGGCAGTGATGCAAGTGATGGGGAGTGGCTGTAAATACAGATGAAGCTTCACTGGCCTGCAGCTCACTTCCTGCTGTGTGACCCGGTTCCTAATAGGCCATGGACTGATACCAGTCCTCTGCCCAGGGGTTTGAGACCACAGCCTTATATAAAATGTAGTATTTGCATATAACCTACATACATCCTCCTGTATGCTATTTATTTATTTACTTATTTATTTATTAGTCTTTGAGACAGTGTCTCCCTCTGTTGCCTTGGGTAGAGTAAGTGGCATCATCATAGCTTACTATAACCTCAAACTTCTAGCCTCAAGCAATCCTCCTGCCTCAGCCATCTGAGTAGCTGGAGCTACAGGTGTGCCCCACCAAGCCTGGCTAATTTTTCTATTTTTTGTAGAAAACAACTATGTTGTTCAGGCTGGTCTTGAATTCCTGGCCTCAAGTGATCCTCCCACTTTGGCCTCCCAAAATGCTAGGAATACAGGTGTGAGCCACCATGTCTGGCCCCTCCTGTATACTTGATGTCATCTCTGGATTACTTATATATATGTCTAATACAGTGCAAATGCTATATAAATAGTTGTTATACTGTGTATTTTTTTCCGAGGATTTTCTATCCATGGTTGATTGAATCTGTGGATGTGGAACTGGTGGCTACAGAGGG